AATAAGATACTGTATTTTACATTTCATTTTCCTTTATTTTATGTGTTCTCTTTTCATGGTAATGCAACTGTCACGCTGTGTGTGGGTTGAAGAAGGACTCACAGGCAAAAGCTCCAATTGCAACAATTTACTCAAAAATAATAACAGGCAGGTACAAACAGAAGGGTTCAGGCAGGCAGATAACACACTAACACGACTATATAAGACTAACAACCGACAAAGACTGAATGAACTGAGGGAACTAAATACAGATACAAATCAAACATAACAAGGTGAAGACAGGTGACACAGATGATGATAACGATGAACAGGTGGATGATTGAGGGAGTGAGTTCAGGTGTGGAGACAAGAAGGATTCTGGGAAGTGTAGTGCAGACAAGGACAGACAGGTGCAGACGAGGACTGTGACATTACTCCCCCCTCCCGGTAGGCGTGTCCTCACGCCATAGAACAGGGGTGGGAGGGTGGGCATCCTGGAGTCCGTGACGGGAAGGCGGACCGGGTGCAGGAGGATGGACTCCAGGATGGACCAGGCGGCCATGGCGGAGCAGGACGTGGGCGTGGCCAGGGCGGAGCAGGACGTGGCCAGGGCGGAGCAGGACATGGGCGTGGCCAGGGCGGTGAGGACCCTTCGGGCGGCCACGGCGGAGACGAACCCTCGGGCGGCCACGGCGGAGACGAACCCTCGGGCGGCCACGGCGGTGAAGCCCCTTCGGGTGGCCACGGTGGAGAAGCCTCTTCGGCTTCGGGTGGCCACAGCGGAGAAGCCCCTTCGGGTGGCAATGGGTCCTTGGGGCACCCACGGCGAGGGCCTATGCCCCCCCCCCAAAAATTAATGGGGAGAGTGACAGAGTCATTACTAGTCTCTGGACTGGACGGAACCAGCGGTGAAGGGGTCTCTGGGCTGGACGGAACCAGCGGTGAAGGGGTCTCTGGGCTGGACGGAACCAGCGGTGAAGGGGTCTCTGGGCTGGACGGAACCAGCGGTGAAGGGGTCTCTGGGCTGGACGGGACGTGAACAGACTCTGGCTGGGCCGGCGTGTCGTGAAGCTCTGGCTGGACGGTCTCTGGCTGGACGGTCTCTGGCTGGACGGTCTCTGGCTGGACGGTCTCGGGCTGGACGGTCTCGTCTCGGGCTGGACGGTCTCGGGCTGGACGGTCTCGGGCTGGACGGTCTCCGGCTGGACGGTCTCCGGCTGGACGGTCTCCGGCTGGACGTGGAGCGGCGAAGAGGGCCTTGAGCTGGGCGGAACCAGCGGTGCAGGAAGCTCTGGACTGGACGGGACCAGTGGCAAAGGAAGCTCTGGGCTGGACGGGATCAGTGGTGGAAGCTCTGGATCTATGCTGGACGGGACCAGCGGTGAAGAAGTCTCAGCAGGATGAGACTCACGATTATGCTTCAACGCCCACTGCACATACTTCACAAAGTTCCCCCGAGGCCCATCTCCGGGCAGGCGTGCCTTGGTCTCAGCATTGAGACCTGCCCGGAAGAACACACTGAGGCTGGTGTCATCATAATGAACATATGGTACTAAGTACAAATACCTCAGTGTGTGGGCCTCGAGGGATAGATCCTCCTGGGAGAGAAGCAGAATCTCTACTGCTGCAAAATCCATTCTCTTTTCTTTTTCTTGGTCGGTTGTTCTGTCACGCTGTGTGTGGGTTGAAGAAGGACTCACAGGCAAAAGCTCCAATTGCAACAATTTACTCAAAAATAATAACAGGCAGGTACAAACAGAAGGGTTCAGGCAGGCAGATAACACACTAACACGACTATATAAGACTAACAACCGACAAAGACTGAATGAACTGAGGGAACTAAATACAGATACAAATCAAACATAACAAGGTGAAGACAGGTGACACAGATGATGATAACGATGAACAGGTGGATGATTGAGGGAGTGAGTTCAGGTGTTCAAGAAGGATTCTGGGAAGTGTAGTGCAGACAAGGACAGACAGGTGCAGACGAGGACTGTGACAGCAACACGAAATGCCACAACAACAATTTAACAAATCCAACAAACACGACAAAAAATACATTCCATGACAAGAAGAACAGGAGTAGGATGAAGAAAAAAAATCTTAGAAACTCCTACCCCATTCTTATAATAAAAAAGTTACAAATTAGATGGCCTTACCGACATGACAAAAGATAACAACAACAAAAAATAACAAAATAGCCCAGACCAGATATAATCTACTTTCAATTTTAACATTTTTTTTTAATCCTTTTTTATTATTATTATTAATTCTGCTTACACAACACTAAACAAACAAAAACAACAATGATGCAATGATGACAACTCTGGCAATGAAAACAACAACTAGACCATCATTGTTGTTATAATTTTAACAATTTTCACATTCATCTTTATAACAATTAAGTATCTTCTGTTCATACTTGTATTTAAATTGTAGAATATTTGAACAACATTTAAGATAATTTTCTAGAAAATTTCATCTTTTCATACCAGAAACTGAAACACACATTTGTTTGAGGGTATTTACAGCAAAAGGTTGTTTAAAGTCATTATTTCTTCTGCTTGTCTCACTTTACAGTAAAAAGGGTTTGCAGTCCATGCGGTAACAGGCAGTGTTTTGCTTTATAAACAACTAATAAAGATTGTAAATCAACCAAATCCTTCAATTTGAGTAGGCCTGACTCTAGAAACAGTCCTGTAGTATGTTCTCTTGGAGCATAACATAAAATATGTTTACAAATAGTCCACAAGAAAAATAGCTGACTTTATAAAAATGACTCAAAAGTTGTATGTACCCTTGATTCTTCATACTGTGTGTCGTTACCTGGATGATCTACGACTGTTTTTTTTTTTTGTGATGGTTGTTCTTGAGTCCCTTATTTGTCCCGAGCAGTTAAACTGCCCAACATTCTTCAGCAATATCTTGCACATTATTTGGTTTTCCAGCATCTTTAACATATTTGAACCCTTTCCAACAGTGACTGTATGATTTAGAGATCCATCTTTTCACACTGAGGACGATTGAGGGACTCAAACACAACTATCAAAAACTTTTTGAATTTGAAGATCAAGGTAAATTGTACTTAATTTGTATTCCGCGAAGCATGTACGTATCTTCTGTTGCTTCTGAAGGGCAGTACTAAATGAAAAAAAAATTAAATAAATAAAAAAATAGGAAAATTTGGATATCTTCATCCGGATCAAAAGTTTTCACCCCCCATATGTGAGGTGATTGACGTTACCTCGACAAAATGATCTTGTGGCCACAACTTATTACCATGTTCCCACAAGTTAATATGACTTTCCCACGAATTAATAACCCGTGGCCACGACAAAACGAAGTGAACCAAACATGTCACCTCCCGGTCACCATAGTTTATAATTTATTGATGTATCATGAATTTGTAAGACAAACATGCAGGTCTGCTAAAGCACTATTTTTAAGATAAATAATTTATTTGATTTCAAGTGAATAAACATTTTTGAATGACTTACAGTCAGGAGATTATTTCATGATTTAGTGAAGTTCACAACGTAATTTCGGTAGGAGTGAACCCATCTAATCTTTCAATTAACTGCCGGGGCATATAAGCAGCCGCTCACCTTGCTCTGGCATCAGCTGTTTTGGAATCCCTTTACCTCTCTAAATCCACCAACATATTTTAGGCATCTTGCTACCATACTCATAATCTAAGCATTAGTAGTCCCACTGGGGGGTATATTTAAGTTCAAGTTGAAACTGCTTCCTCGAGCCCCTCCACTGCGGAGAGCAAGCCAAATATGCTTAACCTTATTACACTGAACAAAATTATAAACGCAACACTTTTGTTTTTTCCCCCATTTTTCATGAGCTGAACTCAAAGATCTAAGACTTTTTCTATTTACACAAAAGGCCTATTTCTCTCAAATATTGTTCACAAATCTGTCTAAATCTGTGTTAGTGAGCACCTCTCCTTTGCCGGGATAATCCATCCACCTCACAGGTGTGGCATATCAAGATGCTGATTAGACAGCATGATTATTGCACAGGTGTGCCTTAGGCTGGCCACAGTAAAAGGCCACTCTAAAATGTGCAGTTTTATCACACAGCACAATGCCACAGATGTCGCAAGTTTTGAGAGACCATGCAATTGGCATGCTTACTGCAGGAATGTCCACCAGAGCTGTTGCCCGTGAATTGAATGTTCATTTCTCTGCCATAAGCCGTCTCCAAAGGCGTTTCAGAGAATTTAGCAGTAAATCCAACCGGCCTAGTGTCGGAACTCGTATTATATGGGTAAAGGAACTTGTGAACTAATTTTTAAAGATAATTTACATCACATTTGTAGATTGATAGCATACCACTTATTAATCATTTATGAATATATAGTCATGTTTTGTAAATGATTAGTTCATCAATAACTAAAAACATTTAACTGAACATTATTGTAAAGTGTTAGCAGATTAAGGTTATTATTATTTAAAATATTTCATATAAGATAGATGTTGGTTATTTTACTGTTACAGTTACAGTTACATGTTACAGTTTATACAGTTTATATTACTGACCTTTAGATTTTATTTATATATATAATTTCAATATACACTAAATATTTGGATTCATGATAGAAGTCTTTCTAAAATTGTTTAAAAATGATATATTTCTGATGCTAATATGTGTCTTATGCTTAAATGTTCTTAGCACATGGTGATTTTCTGCTAAAATGCAGTGTCATTATGTTAACTATTTCACCTGTGTCTAGAAACAACCCTCAATGTGACACCACTGATGCGCTTGATCTGTTACATTTATGTTATTGGTAGATGCTTTATCATCCAAATGATTTCCTAGAAAGTTCACACATAGTGTAAATGGCAAACGCTAGAATTTGTAGCTCTAATGTCATACAATGAATATGAGAAGGGCTGGATTGAGGAGAGTTACTAAAGATTAACAAGAGCCGCACAAATCTGACCGTAGAGCAGGTTATTGGCTGAAGTGTGGAGGTGATGAGCTATGATTTCTTTTTTCTTTAGAGTTTCCAGTCTCTCTCAGCTCCTCCTGAATCTACAGACATAAATGACAATCACTTCAGTTCTCTCTCTTCTTTTGATGGCGTGAGAGAATCTGTCCGTCAGCTGAGAGACAAACTGGAGAATTTCTGCAAAGAGGACATCAAGAAGATCTCTGACAGAGGTAAAGTCCTGGAGATTCTGCTCTCAGAAATGATCCTCCATCATCTCAGATCAAATTAGAAATGTCTTATGAACAGATGCAAGGATCATTTTCTCTTGACATGATAATCACACTCTTCATGTCTGTTGATTTCCACAGTCACTTTCACCAACATTGTTCCCAAGACCAGGAACGATTTCCTACAATGTAAGTCACTAAGAAAACAAGCAGAAAAACTCACTGAATGTGTTCATGTTCTTCCCGTTGAAGGTGAAAGAAAACATGACAGAAAAGTTTTAGAGTTGTTCATGTAAATGATGATTTGCACAGGATATCTGGTAAACTGTACTAAGACACTGCTGATATATTGAACATAAAGCTTCAAGAGCATCGACCATGCTCTAAGCAATAACAGAGAGGCTTCAGAGGAGCCTGCAGCATGATGTTACTCTAGGAAGCTAGGACACTGATTTAGCTAAAAGTGCTAAAAACCTAGCTTGACCCGGAGGATCCCCTTCAAGGTGGCCTGCTTGAGGGCCAACTACTCGGTAACGAATCTAGAGGCAGCAATTGAATGGATATAAACTAGAAGAAAGTTAAAAAGTACAGGACAAGCGGTCAGTCTGTGGACGCGGCAAGAGCGTGCAAGTGGTTTTTCTCTTAATATCCAGTTCTCCTGTTACTCAGTTTTGTATTTGCCACAAGGTAAGGCTATCTTCGATTCTCTGCTTATTTTTAAATTTTAGAATCGCAAAAATCTGTATTTTACAGTTTTTCTCGATTGCTAAGACACATTTCTTGAAAGCTGCTCTCCTTTTCTCTAAACTGTGAACACAAAACCCAATTTTCAAGCTATATTCACAAAACCTCAGACTCTTCTTGCAAAACCAAACTTTCACCTCAAAACAGTTCAATCTGTGCTCAAAACTGAACTATGTTGTCAAATCGTGCCCCAAGTCAATCAAAATTAAAAACACTACTGAACAGTCACTAAACACTTCGTAGAAAAATAGAAAACACAATGCTCAGGACATGAAGCTGGAGAAATAAATGTTTAGTGTTCACGGCTAAATGCATGTTGCAAAACAAAAAAAACTGTGCATTTAGCACTTGTACAAAAAGACAAAACAGAAATCTTGTGCATTTACACGTAGCACTTGTAAAAACAAACAAAAATCTTATGCGTTTGCCACTTGTGTACAGTAAGCCCATGTAAAAATAAAGTACAAAAAAATACAAATAAGTGCATTACTCAGCCACAGCATCATGTCTCCGTACTGGGTCAGGCCACAGGACTTCATCCACATCACAGGCCACTTTTGTCTGGCCAGGCAACGGGGAAAACCCCTGGCATTCCGTATCCAGGCTTGGCATGCCTCCACACCTGTGTCTCCACAGGCAAGTCCCATGGCTTGCAGGAGATTAATCCTGGTGTAAGGTTGGCGTTCATATACCTTCCACCGCCATGAGGAGAAGAATTCCTCAATGGGGTTTAGGAAAGGGGAGTACGGTGGAAGGCAAATATTACTGTACAGTAATACTGTAAAACCTTGGTTCATATTGAACCAGTCTCTAACCTGGAGGGCTCTGTGAAAACTCTCTCAGAATCCTCTCAGATTTATATCCATTGTAGGGCCTCACAAACCAGTGCCCTCTGAACTGGCTTACTGTATATGTTCCCTCACATAATTAGCCACAAGTGTGATCAATTTTGAGTTGTTGTGTTCAAGTGGTGACAACTGTGCTTTAATTGTGTTTGACTTTTGTCACCTGTGCTCACCATTATGCAGCACGGGTGCATCACAATGAAAATGTGTTGGCAAGTTGTGTCTAAACAGGTGAAAAGTGCTTATGGTTTTGCCAAAAGAGTGATTGATTCAATCAGTGGGTTCAGGCAACTGAGCATTTGGTTCAGACAATAGGGTTTAGTGTTTTAGCAATTGAGAAAAACTGTAATAAAAATAATAGCCGCGTCTGATAAGTGTTGCAATTTGAACTTTATTGCACTTAAGTGTAGCGCTGTCAATAAGCTAGTTTCGATTAATTGAGAGGGCAGAGGCAGCTGTCCTCACTCAAGTGATTTAAAGCATTATATCTTTGTAGTGTGCGCGCTGTCGCGGAAGTGTTACTCGACTCAAGGTCCAAGACAGGTTGATGTCTGAGATAAGTTTGTGAGGAGTAGAGGCCTCAGCAGGAAGAGATTCCATGGAAGAGGACTAACCACTCAACCCCACGACTTGATGGTCAAAATCAAGAAGCTTTCACAGGAGAGTCTGTTCTTAAGGCCACAGGCTAGATAATGCTACTACCAAAGCTCTAGAGAGAGTGGCGGCTTCAGCATAGTGCTTGTCACTCTCTAAGCGAGAGGAACCTGACAACACCCAGGTGACAACCACAGGGGACGCTTTCCAAAGAAATAGCCTGCAACACCTGGCTATTTGTCTGTGCCAAACACCGCTATGGAACTGTAGCTCAGCATATCGCTTCTACTCTAGTATAAAGAGGAGTCAGCTCAACCTAGGCAGTTAGAGGAGGCCACAGGATCTGCGACTCGCATTATTAGCCTAATACAGAAGGCGGCCCCTGGCTGGGTTACTCCCACAGTGAGTGGAGGCGTACCAGCATCACTAGCTGCCAATCTTAGGCTGGAGAGTCCTATTCTGAGATACTGCAGGCTAAGAGGTTTCGTTAAGGTGCGAGGGGATAATGCTAGGCCGAACGGAAGAACACAATATTGGTACGCTTTTCCCCCAAAGGCGAACCTCAGGAACTTCATGTGTTGAGGAAGGATGGATATATGGAAGTAAGCGTCCTTGATATCTATCCTGACAAACCAGTACTCGGACCTTATTTGACTCACGGTGGTAGGGATAGTTAACATTTTCAACCTGAATCTCCTTAGAGAACGATTCAATATCCTGAGATCTATAATGGGATGCACCCCCCATCCTTTTTGGCTATATGAAGTACCGGCTGTAGAACCTGTACAGTACATTTGGCTTGTATTGTTCAAATGAGGAGTTCTTTTCCAAAACGCTATAAATCCATTTCAGTAGTTTTCAGGAAAATGACATTTTTTACCTAAACCCACACATTTTGTGAATATTCATTTTATTCTGCTAAAATATGTTTTTAGGCTCAGTCTGAACATGTTGAACAATGATTATTAAATCAAACAACAATATTGTTTATGATCAATTCAAAGTTAATTTTATTTTTTTCCAAAACGCTATAAATCCATCAATTTTTCCCAAAAACGCTATAAATCCATCAATCTTTTTTCCCAAAATTGTATGGTTTGTCTTTAAAAAAAAAAAAAGAAAAAAAAAAAAAATAGAACATGCAACATATTATCAGGGACTCATATAAATTAATATGAATAAAATTTTGTAACACATTTAGGCTAATAGTCAATTAGTCAAGCCAACATGACACGAGTACTGTATAGTTGTACAAGCCTACTGATAGATAAACTGCCCTTTTATTGACCATGATAAGGTGCTATGGCTTGTTGCTTGAGAGAGAGAGAGAGAGAAGGGCTAGGGGAGCAGAGAGAGAGAGAGAGAGAGAGAGAGAGAGAGAGAGAGAGAGAGAGAGAGAGAGAGAGAGAGAAGGGCTAGGGGAGCAGAGAGAGAGAGAGAGAGAGAGAGAGAAGGGCTAGGGGAGCAGAGAGAGAGAGAGAGAGAGAGAGAGAAGGGCTAGGGGAGCAGAGAGAGAGAGAGAGAGAGAGAGAGAGAGAGAAGGGCTAGGGGAGCAGAGAGAGAGAGAGAGAGAGTTGAGTTTTAAACACTTTATTAAAAAACCATTATTTCAAAACAAAAAGAAAAAACAACAACAACAACAACAAAACGAAAATACAAAAAACAACAACAACAACACTACATGACTTAACTACCTTAATTCACATATGAAAACCAACTCATTATTAAGTATAGAATACATACCAACATCACAACACCATTCAATCTCAAAAACATTGATTGCATTCATCATCTTGTAATAATTAAAATCAACAAGAATTCTTGATTTAAACATATTCTTAAAAACTGATACAATGTGTTGTCCATTTCTCTGTTCTATTTCATTTCTTCTGGAAATGTAAACCGCTAATTTGGCTTGACCAACAATAAAGTTCATTAATTGACACTTATATTTCTGTAGTCTACTATACTTGAAGCCAAGTATAAAACATTGCTTTGTAAAAAAAATCCCTAATAAAGAAAACAAAAATTCTAAAAGATCAAAAAGTGGAGAAAGTCTGTCACAATTCATAAAACAATGGAATATTGTTTCTCTCTCTGAACAAAAAGGACAATTGTCATCTACAGTGGGATTCAATTTCGTCACGAAAGCGTTAACGGCGATTGCACCGTGCAGGATTCTCCACTGCAGATCACCTGCCCTTTTAGTCAATGGTGGTTTGTAGAGTACTCTCCACTCTGGTTTTATTTCCTCTACTACTCCCAGCTTATCCCTCCATACTGTGTCAACTCTGTCTTTTAACGTATGTTTATTTATTATCTTCACAATACATTTGTACAAGATCTTTCCTTTAATTGTACAAAAATCTACATTTTCATTTTTATTCAAACACAAAAGAGGACTATTATATGAGGATTCTTCAAGATCAGGTATAATTCTGAAGTCTGGTAAAAAGTCATCAACGTCAGGGAAAATATCACCCCTACTATATCTCTCAAGTAGAGTTTTTTCTCTGGAGTTTAAAACCCCCTCCAGTTTGTTCAGAAAACTTCTAACAAATCTCACTGATCTTATACCCAGATGTATAGCAGCAGTTTCTGCGTTTTTTAGTCCAGGTCCGGCTTTGTCAACAATATCTTTCAATTGCAGTACTTTCTTTGACACAAGCAAGTTTTTTAGTCCTGGAAAATCATCACCTGACACATCAAGGCGACTTCCAAACACCACAGGCTCCTCAAGCAACCAGAAAAGAGATGTAGCTAGCTCTGTCCACTTGTGTTTGAAAAGACTCCACACTTTAAAAAGACTTTTATAAAATGAAGGTAATCTAGTCAAATCCAGAAGAGTATGATCCATCAAAAAAAGTGCAGCATGAAGTCCCATTCCATTCACCCCAGATAAAATGGTTTGTGCTAATGGTCTCCACACTAGGTTCTGGGGTCCCATCAGCAGTCGCTGGATGAACTGTAGCCGATAAGTCGCTCCTCTGCTGACCAGATTTACCA